GCATGGTTACATAATAGCTAATGATTTACCAAATCATTTCCTCTGGGGCTATGAGAAATAAGCAGAAAAATATTTTTTCTTTAGAAAAAAAAATATAATAACACAATTCTGTGCTATTATAAACAAAAAAAAGCTGCTAAGCATATAAATAAATATAAGCAACAACCTTAGATCTGAAAAGTCGACAGAGTTTGCATAATTAAAAACAATTCAGTCTTTTTGGTGATTTTGTAGCAGAAGGTATGAAAGAGAGCGACCTCTCAGCGGATGTTTGGGATGTTGGCTGTGAGCACATTCTAGAAGAAACAAGACTGTGAGCTTTCACCTATCTAAGAGATAGACGCTAGCTTTTAGTGTGAACAGATAAAAGCAAAAGATGGCATGTTAAGAAACCTGCAAAAGATTTGAAGAAAAGAAAAAACACAAACCAAGAAGTATTTTCTGTTGCCTGACATTTAAATGCATTTAGAGACTAAAAACTCTGCTTCTGTGAGAGCCGTTATTTCCTTTTCTTTTTTTTTTGCTGCAGTCCAGCAAATATTAGAGGATTTATCCATGTAAATAAAGTCTCGTCATCAGAAGAGCCAAGGACCCCCTTGGCTACAGCAACAGTCAACCCAGCAAAGAGTTAAGCATTTGAAACTCCACTGTGAAGCTAAACTGTTCTTAGTATTCAGCTGGCAGCCAGCCTCGCTAGTCATCCGCCAATTTGATGCGTGCTTCAAGAATCTGGCCTCAACAGATGAACCGTGAGCCAGTAATCCAAACAAACACAGTTAGGATCCATGAACCATCCTTGGTAAGTTACGTTAACACCACCGTAGCAGGCTGGTGAAATCGGGTCTACACTGGTCAGCTTTGGGTTTAATACAGGCTGGAAATATTTAACCTCTGCAACAGAGAGCGCCATCAAACAGTGAATATTAAAACATGCTTTAATAATTTAATCCTTCTTCTAACAAATGCTGCAAACAACAAGTAATTATGGAGCATTTTTTCCAATTTAGTTTTTAGGATAAAACAAAAAACAATCAGAATCTGCACAGATTTAGATAATGTGTTTGTACGGAAGAGGATTAGGGCCACTGAAAAAAAAAAAAAAGTTAACTGATTTTTAAATTTTATTTCAGTTTAACATGGGGGAAAAAGTCAGAATTCTGACTTTTTTCTCAGAATTCTGACTTTAATCTCAGAATTTTGGATCTTCATGTAGATGGGCACCATGAAGGAAGAGATGTGGAGCACTCAGCTTCACTGACAAAGATGTGAGTTGTTTGAGAGGGCCAGTGACACATTGGTGGAAAATGACGGAATTAGGCAACTTTTTACGTGCCAGAGGGGTCCCCTCATTAATGGAGGAGCAGAAGGTCATTATAACAAGAGAGCTAGTTTCTAAAACAGACATGGCTATGGCTTGATGCTAACATGTTTGGTATCTGTCAGAATTCTGAGAAAAAAGTCAGAATTCTGACTTGAAATAAAATGTAAAAATCAGTAAACTTTTTTTTTTTTCCAGTGGCCCTAATCCTCTTCCGTATGTTTGCTTTCATTAGGTCCTAGTATTTATAGTATCATGATGTTTATATAGAAAAATATATGATATAGTTTTGATGTTAATATGTTAACATAGTAACACATGGCTTATTACAGATATTATAACATTTATTTATTAGCACCGTTTAAGACGTCTAAATTTTGCTAAACCTTATCATAAGCACAGATAAATTTATTTTCTGTTGTTTACATTGATAAATGTGAAGCAAATGTTATTGTTGTGTCTTTTACATCATTTAAATGGAGGAAGAAAAATCAATAAAAGCCAAAAGTATTGCCCCCCGTAGTGAAGAAAAATAAAGTTAGAATAAAAAGTTAGAATTAAAAAAGCAGATCAGTTAGACTGATGTGAAAATAATCTGCATCGGCCTTAAAAAGAAATCCTTCATCTTTAGTAGGGGTGGGATGTTTCCTTTTCGTTTTCCAGCTCCCACTTACCTTCTTCACTCCACTACCTACAACAGCTATCCTTTTGTTTATAGGAGAGGTTTGCAACCTTTAAGAGGCATTTTTTCCAAACAAAAAAAGGAGATTAGAGCTGCAGATTTTACAAAGCACAACTTTTTATTTCAGTTAAACTACTGCTGTAGGAAAATCTGTTGCTATTTGTGTTTTTTAAAAGGAAAAATATAAAATGCATGGATTTTTTTCTATAGCAAGGTAATATTTGTGGAAAACTATTGTTTGTACTGAATATTCTTTTAATATAATTATGTTGGGAAAATTCAACTTAGAAATCTGCTGAAGCTTCAAACCCGAGTGTATCTTATTATACCATATATAAAAAACTTAAGTTTGCTATTTGTTGTTTTAGCCACTATCAGGAGCTATGTAGATGGTCCAAAGAGCGACTTTAGGCTTTGGAGCCAAAGGTTTCACACCCCTGGTTTATAGTTATAGTTATACATTTCCCATGATGATAAGAATTTTAATATATCACCTAAATTATATATTAGAATAAATGATGCTTTAAAAAAAAACAACAAAAAAAGGATGAATTATCCAAATAATGTTTTTATGTTTTCCTTCTTTTTTCTTTTATTCCTCCTTCTTGGGAATCACAGATTTAAAGAACAAGTAGTATTTGTGATTGTGGGGCATTGACTGCTGTGGCAGGCAGTCAGACATACAGTTACAGTATTTATCTAGGACTAAAACCGGTTTTATCATCACTTTTATGGTCATCACGATTGAAATGGAAAAATGTCCTGATAAGACTTTAAGTCCTTATCAGCCAACCTTAACAACAGTCTTGTATTGCTTCAAAGTATAACAACAGACTTTACATACAAAGTCAAATCTATCTTTAAAAGGTTCATGTTATGCCACTATATGTTAGCTTGGAAAGGTTGCCTTTATCAGCCGGGTTAAAGAAGCAACAGCATGAAGGGAAAAGACCTTGACAGCTTCACTTTACTCTTTCAACATGTAAAAGTGTCCTTTCCGATGACCCTTACACACAAACTTCCTGCAAATGCAGACCTTGTTTCTATGGTGATATTGAATCACAGAATGCGAAGGTAAAAAATGGGCTCTTTTGAAGAAAACATCAATAGAGAAAATAAAGAGCATTCTCCTAACAGTGTAGTTATGAGCAGCTGTGGGTAAGGAATGATTCAGCTGGAAGTGTGATCGGAGAAGTTGACGTTCCGTCTAGGAAGCAGCTCTGCTATCAACCAAAAACAGACGGCTTGTTTCAGGGCCACTTAAACGCTCTACTGTCAATCAATAAACCGTCAGCTTTCTTACACATAGTTTTAAGAGTTTGCAAAACGGGACTTAATCATTATTTCAACAGGAAAAGTGCAAATGTTTCATCTCTGGAGGTTTGTGTTGCAGCAGGACACAGTGCGAGTTTTATGCATCTTTAAGGTCACAAATAAGGGTATCAGTTATTAGGAGCTACAGATGGGAATAAGCTTCTTTGACCACCTGTTTAACATTTTCAAATTCATAGAAGAAGCACTCTGGCTCCCATGGGAGCCACTTACCATCTGGTTTTATGTAAAACATAACGTTTTGGCATTTAACTACAGCACATGCTTTGCTAAGCACAGCCACCTCCGAGCAGACTTGGATGCATTTTTATTTAGTGATATTTATCACATGTGCTGTTAAGGCTTCAGTATAACGCAGTGGGTTTGGACAAAGATCTGATCTTTTAACAACTGCATTTACATCCAAAACAACTTCTGTGTGTTTCTATCACAATAAAAAAACAAAAGCATTGCATATTTTATGCAGCTTATCTAAATTATTGCCCAGAAAAGACTCTGCAAATCAATAGATAAAGAAAATGAGGCATAACCTTTCATTAAATAAAGCCATACTAATAGGAAGCTAAAAGGCAGTTTTTTTTTGTTGTAACAGGAATTTTATTTATCAGTAACATTTTATGTTTGCAGCACTATAATTACTGTTTTAAAACAGTTATTAAATTATTAAACATCAGCCTCCTGGTGTTCCTGGGACAGTTAGCTTTAAAAACTTTTTGGGATTTATTCACTTTTCCATCATATGAAATAAAGAAAATAAGAAGAAAAAACAAAAGGGATTAACCTTAAACCTGGGCCTTTTTAAGCGTATTATTATAAATATTCACTATATTTTAAAAAAGGGGAACAGTTTTATTTGGCTTTTGTAATGCTAACTAGATCAAAGAGCATCTGTAGGCATTCACGATAACCAGCATGGATAGAAAAGAAACTGCAAACCCTGGTAAAAAAAACAAACAAAAAAACAGGAGAACTGGCCAAAGTTTGGGACTTCAAATTCAATCATTTAAGTTTTAGGTTTGCTAAACTTTGGATTGTATGTTATTGTAATCTGGAATTCTGATTTTTTTTTTTAAGATATGAAAATGTATAAGACTAAACCAGAAATCTAAAACTTTCATTTACAACGAAATTTATATATATATATATATATATATATATATATATATATATATATATATATATATATATATATATATATATATATATATATATATATATATATAGATATGAGGGTATATTGCACATCTCTTACAACATTTAAAAACGTCAGTGATAAAATACAGAGTTAGGAACCCGTTGTAATGGAAACAAGAGCTTGCAGAAGGTTCCTAGGTCCAAACTGAATGTGTAGTAACTGAAACTGAGGGAATGCACATAAGGGTGAAAAAGAGCAGGGATCCGGGTGGAAAAAGGGTCCCAGCTATCCAAACAAAGAGATGGAATATATAAAAGTAGAAGGCTACACTCCTACAGATTAGCTATTTAGCCTTCACCACAGAGGATCGATTTACTTAACTAAAACAAGTTTCTGATCATATTTAATATTTTTGCTACAGGTAAATGAACTCTTATTGTAAAAAGAAACTCTTTATAATCAAAAAGGATTAATTAAGCTTATAAAGATCAAATTTCTTTCATGTCTTGTGAAAAGAGAAAACAAATCATTTGAAAGACTTACCTAAATACCAAGACTACAGGTCAGGATCACAGGATCAGTCACCTGGAAAGAAGCATAACATAATTAATACCTATGACAAATGAATGATCATTTCTAGAAAATAAAATAAAATAAAATAATATATATATTTATATCTCAATGATCTGGCTCAATATCAGGGGTTGTAGCAGCTGCTTGAATCCGTCGATGTTTCAGTTGTTTACTTAAAGAAAGTTGACATTAAAGTGCAGCTCTGCCTCCTAAAGTGAAATGCCAAGTTTTGACTGCAGGGGATAAATTCAAAAAATGATAATTGTGAGTGAAATTTCTATTTCTGGTGTTGTGAATGTCCTACATTCTGTTTAGATGCAGGTAAGGGGGGGTGGGGGTGGGGGGGGGGGGGGGGGGGGGGGGGGGGGGGGGGTTGGCTGTCTCCAGGGCCCTAAGATGTGCATTCCTCTTGCTGAGGAAAGCTTTTGTTCTGATAAATTGACAGTGTCAATTTCCCACATTGCTATAGTGTGGCATATACTACAGGGAGCAGCAGTGGGAACACAGATGCTTTGCACGATTGGCATCACTCAATTTGACAGTTCTTGTTTTTTGGGGCTTTTTTCCGCTTTTCTTTCAAGGGAGGAGGGTGGGCCATTTTTCTAAATCTGAACTTCCAAGTCTAGGAAGCAGGAAGGAATAGGAATTAATACACCTACACATCCCTTCTCCCTTTGGAAAGGGAAAAAAAAACATTTCTTTGTACTCGCATCATAATTACTGGTGGGCGCCACTTTTGGTTTGTTGTACTCCCCACCAGAGTTGAAAACAATATTTTGAGGACGCTCAACCGACAACTAGGTCTTTCCTTAACTTTCCTTTACTTTCTTTTGCTGTTTTAATTTTAAGAAGCAAGTTCTGGAAGTTGAGGAAGCTCTCTATTTTCAAACAAGCTGCTTTCTGCAGACACGCCGTCAGACACAGCGGGCCAGAAAGCTGATTCTGCAGCCTCCTAAACCACTGGCATTAGCACAGAGATGACGTTTCCTTTTTTATTTACTGAACTTTATGTCTAAATAAGCTTAAAATGAATTATGCCTTAATTATGCACATAGATATTCTTCAAGGAAAGGCAAAAAGAAAAACTAAAATGTCTACCGTAGTTATAAGGAATTTTGACAAAGAGATCTGTTGTGTAATAATAGGAAGGAACCCTCTAAAATACTGTTAGCTGCTTCCTATTGTGGACTATTGCATAAATTCAATGCACCTGTAGTTTCCCTTAAGGGTTCTTAACAATTTTCCCTCTATAAAGTCACAGCGACTGAGCAGCAAACCGTCTAGGGAACACATCTGTGCTTCGGAGAACCTTTTAGCACAAGGTTCGCTTAACAAAACACTCACAAAAACACTGCAGAGCTTCTTATGCATCTTCAGCATTCCAGATCCTATTCATTTGAGCAACTGTCAAAGTCTCCTTAAGCTGTGTGCAACAAGAAATAAATAAAATCTATTTTTGAAGCTAATGTGGGGAGAAAAAAGCCTGTCAAACTTTAGCACTCGCTGTTCTTACCAAGTGTGTGCTAAGAGTGCAGAACAGTGAGATGCTCCCTACCATGACCCCTGGTCTTTACATCCACCCTGAGCAGATTGTTCCATCCGTCCCAGAAGACGAGGCTGAGACGACAACTACCGACTGTAGATCTTTAGGAGATAATTATAGCAGATTGAGGGAGCCTTTATGTTTTACTTAACCTTGAGATTCACAAGCAGACAGGTGCTCAGGTTCTACCTGGAAGGGTTTCAGCTGAGACCTTCTGTTCAAAGGCATTTACCAAATGAGTGGAAGAAATAAAAGTTCTGTTGAGCAATACAGACATGGACCCACTCGGCATCATCATGGTGAAACTGATCACTCAAGAAATTTTTATTAAAATTGGGGATTTAAGAAAAAAAAAAAAACACAACCAGTCTGGGCGAGCAAGTCATTTCATGGACACTCAGCTACAAGAACAGAAAGAGATTTGTTAAATCTATGTAAAAACTTTAAGACACAAATTACATATGTTTTTTAAAGTATTCTTTAAGCAGAGAGGAGCTAAAGCAAAATATGCAGGTCGGTTTCTGCAGAGTGACAGTTACACCGGTGAGCACGCTGGTCCTCAGGCAACACATGGGTGAAAAAAACACAACTTAAAGGAAAACAAACAAGGGTGTACTGTTAGATCAAGGTGGAAATGGAGCCAAACCAGTCAGACTGCCATACCAGTTTGGATAGGGGAGGATATAAGATTACTAATACGGCTGGTGAAGAGGGAATCTGATATTTATTATCTCTGGGCAATATTTAGGTGACATAAACAAGGAAGGATCCACCCATATCAATATCTGTCATAACATAAATATGGGTTCTGTCAACATTTGCACAGATATTTTGAAAAACGATTTTAGCAGACGTGTGCCTGGCACCGATTCTTGTACCTTTTGTTAATATTGTAAAACAGTTCATGTGCTAAGTTAAAAGCTAACATAGCGCTCTGTTGCAGTGTGCTAACTGTTTTGAACCCCGATATGCTCTCATTCAGGTACATAATTCATTATTGTATTATTCATTGTATATTGAAATTATTAACGTTCTACTGTACAGCCAGTCTGTGAAAGCTGCACCAGAGTGTGCTGAGTGAAGCTGAGCTGTTGCACTGATTTGAACCAGGATATGTTCTCATTCAGGAAGTAAACTGCTTAATCACCGAGAAACTCCTTGTCTTTAATAAAAAAAAAAAAAAAAACACTGCAACACAGAGTAGTGGGGTTAAGGCTGATTTATACTCTGAAACCAGGTCGTCTGTGTGTCGCAGTGAATGCCAATGTGCCCCGCCCCTTCTGCAGACGCTCTGCTGCACCTCTCCAAAATTGTAGGTGACCTCAGACATTGCCGCAGACCTCTGATTGGTCAAGTATATATCCACTCTACAGTACGCATATTTCCTGTTTGGTACCTTACTGGCTTGTTTTGTTTGTATGACTGCCATTGAGGAAAACAACTTGTGAATTCGGACCAGCTAGCAGAGCAAGGTGCGCGAGAACGCTGGGACCCTTGTTCCACCTGGATCCCTGGGATAGAATATCATAAGACATACACTAACTATACTTAACAATACAGAGTGGGTTCACATAAAGTGATTGTTGTGCTAAGAACCTGTTTTTGAAAATGGATCGCATACATGCATTATACACTATTATCTCATTTGAAATGGGATGCAAAGTGACCTTTTTTAATGTAGTTTTGTAAAATAAATCAATAATTAAATCGGAAATGCGGGGCAACATGAATGGAGTATGGTGTTACGTTCACAGCTGGGAAAGAGTGCGATAATTTAACTGTTAAATAAGTCCATACACATTCATCGGTCACATCATTAAATGAAATACAATAATGGCATAACTACAATATCAGAAATGGCCTTCTCCTGAAAATTTGACAGAGCGTGGTGCGATTTCGTCAGATTGGCAGGAAAAATTAAGGTGAGTGAGGAGCGGATTTAGAGCGGAGCGTCCTGGCGCAACTGAGCAGCGAAGCGAATGAGTGAAGATCCTCCTGAGCGGGGAGTGGGAATTGTGCGGCGCTCCGCTCGATTCATATGCTCTGATCTTTAGGTCAATATTTTGTGCAAATATTATTCTATAAAGCTGTGAAAGTTTCCCTCAAGACCGCCATACTACGAGAGTCTGACTAGATCAAAAAACTACTTTATTAAACATTTAAAGTCCCAGTCTGAAGTTACAGAAGGCAACAGCTGGAGGCACTAGTGGTGGGGAGGAGAACTGCAGGAACCTAAAGATGCGATTATTGTCTTATTATATAAACCTAATTTTAAGTCTTAAAGGAATAGTACACCCAAAACATGATTAGCCTTCATTTTCTACTCACCCCCATGCTGAACAACACTCTGGAGTACTTTTTTGATATCTCAAATGCATCTGGAGATCTGGGAGGCTTCTTGCTGTCTGCTGACATTCAAATAATGGAGGTCTATGGCGCCCGAGACAGAAAGGTCCATAAAAGTCCACAAAAAACGTGTCAATATTCCTCCATACTGCTCGTCCAATGTATTCCAAGTGTCCTGAGTGGGTAGCATCCAGAATTTACTCGAAACAAAGTTATTTAGAATGTTTTTAGAGCATAAACAGTAGTGTATAGGATTTCCTGAAAGCGTGCGCCTGCAAGTTCACGAGTCTACGGAAACCGCGGCAGACCAAACCAGATGAAAGTGCGCATTCAGCTCGGCAAAGAACTCATGCTCTTCCTCAACACTGAAGTCCTCAGACATTTTTCTTTCGTTGTTTCTTTCTTTGCACAGGTAAACAGCACATTTCTTCTTCTACGCTTGCATTATCGGCAGAGCAGACGCTGAATGCGCACTTTCATCTGGTTTGGTCTGCCGGCTTCCGTAGCGTCGTGAACGCGCATGTGCGCGCTTTCAGGAAATCCTATACACTACTGTTTATGCTCTAAAAACATTCTAAGTGACTTCGTTTCGAGTAAATTATGGACGGTACCCACTCAGGACACTTGGAATACATTGGACGAGCAGTATGGAGGAATATTGGCACGTTTTTTGTGGACTTTTATGGACCTTTCTGCCTCGGGCACCATAGACCTCCATTATTTGAATGTCAGCAGACCGCAAGAAGCCTCCCAGATCTCCAGATGCATTTGAGATATCAAAAAAGTACTGCAGAGTGTTGTTCAGCATGGGGGTGAGTAGAAAATGAAGGCTAATCATGTTTTGGGTGTACTATTCCTTTAAGGTACACGTGTCAGATTGCCTTAGTTATTTCCCAACATAATGAAACTGCGAATTCCAGCATTTTTTAATCGTAAAACATAAATGACATGAAAAAAAAATCATTATTCGTTGTCAAATGCCACTTTATCAATACCTTTATGAGAAAATGTATCAAACTACTCTGAACCCTAAATTAAAATAAAAAAAATTGTTTATACACTTGTCCATTTTCTTGATGTTTAACTTAGTGGGAAGTGATAAATTAGAAAAAGGAACTGTTCT